GCCCCCGCCGGGCGGCGGCTCGGCGAGGGGGCCCTCCGCGGCTGTACCGGCTCCCGGGAGCAGCGAGAGACCCGTGAGGTCGGAGGAGCTCCACCTCTGAGAGAAACGTCTCTGGAGTGAGAACGCTCCTGGGGGGACTCAGAAGTTGTGCGCGATGTTCGGAAGTCTTGGAGGGGAGGGGGCCGCCGAGCGGGAGATGGCACTCTTCTGCTTGGGCAGCTGTGACATCTGTGAGCCTGAGATGGAGACGGTCTGGGGCTTCTGACGCCTGAGGCTGCAGAAAGAGCGCTCTCCCTGGAAGATCGATGCCCATCCAGACCCACTCTTGGGCTGCAGCGCCGGGTCCTCTGCACTCTGGCCGACTCAAGGGGCAGGAGAGCTGCCAGCCCCTGCCCTTCTCTGTCCTTCCGAGTTCCACCCTCTCCACCCCTGGAGGAAAGCAACAGGTATTTAGTGAGCAAACGTCTGTTGTGCCTGGCTGAGTAGCACCTGGCTCTTTTAGAGGTAAACAGAGGGAGGAAAAGGTCTGGTCTTGCCCTGGGACTGCAGATGGAAGGACTTGCGTTTGGAAGTATTGATGATTATCGGGGTTATAGGGTTCTGGGGAGATAGCAGGGCTCTGGTCTTCTGGGAAAATTGGAAACCGTCTCCTAGCCTTTCTCTTCTTTCTACACCTTCTTACGCTGTCCTCCTCCACCCTCGCACCACAACCCTCCATCACTGTCTCCTCTCATCCCCTTCAGTCTCTTATCCCCCAGACAGTCTTACCTGGGCCCTCACCTCTCTTCACCTACCCTGTCCCGGTGTTTATCTGACACCCGCAGCCTCCCCGCTGCCTTTCCTTCCCAGCTTCTGGCTCCTGTACACATCTCCACCCTCTTGCTTCTTCCATCTCTCCTCTTTCCTCTGGGTCTCTTGGCCTCCTTTTCACCCACTTATCTTCAGCTTTGGGGTCAGCATCTACTGTAGAAGATTTGGTAAGTGGGAGAGCCTTTTCAAAGCTCCCTTGCTTGGAGAAGCAGGGGGCAACTTCCCACTGATAGAGAAGATTAAAGACCTGGAAGACCTATGTGTGTATGCGTGTGTGTGTGTGTGTGTGCATGCATGTATGCATGTGCCAATGTCTATGTGTCCACATCATTATCTCTTGGAGACAAAGTAACTGCCCTCAGCTTTGGGAGGGCTCAAAGTAGGGGAAGCCAGCAGAGTGCAGGGAACCTGCAGTGGGTGAGGTTGTGGTTAGGTGGGAGGAAGCAGTCTGTAGCAGTCAGGGTAGGGTAACAGAGGAGGAAGGCTGAGAGAGGCCGTGGGAAATCAAATCACCCCGACCCTTGGGTGCTTGACCAAGAAGAAGCTAGGCCTGGAGGCCAGGGGACAACCTGGAGGTCCTTGACGCCAGCAACTGCTGGTTCCAGCATAGCCTGTTGGGGAGAATGAGGCCAGCTGGGTGTAATGGAACGAAAGGGAGGGGGGCAAAGGCAGGATTCTGGAGAGAAGACTGCTGCTGGTTTAACGTCAATCTTAACTGTTTCAGTTTTGAATCAAGAAAAGAAGGGCGCGAGGCTAAGGCTTTCTGCTGCTTCTTACTTGTTGCCTTCTGGGGCCTGCCCAGGCTGGGCACCCACGTGCCCAGGTTTGCCTCAGACTTTGGCAACCAGGAAGGCCTCTGGAGTTCTGATCCCTCTGCCTTCTGGCATCCTTAAATATTCCCTCCTCACCTAGAAGGGCCTCTGCCTCTCTTGGGAGTTTCTCCCAAGACTAACTTCCATCCCACCTGGCTCTGTAAGCTCTTGCCTCTGTTCAAGAACACCTTCTTCAAGCCTTTAGGATGCCGCTAAGGGATCTTGCTTCTGTCTGTCTCCTTCAGTCTTCTGTATTCTTTTCTCTCCACTAGAAAAAGAAAAAAGAGAAGGGGTGGAGGGCAAGTACTCCATTTTTGGGATCTCCCAAGCACAGCCAAATGTAAGAGCTATGCTCGCTCTCCATCCTATCTTTCTGTCTCACACCTGCCTCTCTTCCGTAAAGTGTCCCTTCTTCCAGCCCTATCCTTCTACTTGCCTTTCTCTCCTCTCATTTCTGGGAAGTTGGCCCCAGGAGGAAATAAATCCCAGCATCAAATCCCAGCTCAGGGAAGGATGTGCATACAAGGCACTTTCCCAGCATCACAAGCTCAATAAAAAAACCTAGGAGTCCTGATTCCCAGCCTGGCAAACTAGTACTTACTTTAGCATTCTGCATAACTGAACAACCCACAGGACTCAGGATAAAGACAGGACGGCTGAATTGGGTTCTCCCAGGCAAGATCTGGTCCCACAGGAGGTTTGAGTTACTTACAAGAAAGTCACTGCTGGAAACAATACAATGGCGGTGGACACTATCTCAATGGGAAAATACCATTGTGGAGGTGGGAGGTAGGGGCTCCAACCTAGGAGGCTGCTGTTGAGGGCTTGGCTCATAAAGGTCATAACCTGAAGAGAAGTAGCTGGTGTCCTGGTTGGGAATCTGGGATTTGGAGAGTTGTTCTCTGAAAGATATTAGGGCACACACATGAGGTGGCTGGTGCAAGCTTTTGAGAGGTCTTAAGAAGGAAGATATGAGAAACTGGCTATAGTGAGACAAGTAGAAAAATAATATGTTGGTGGTAGCTTATATGGTGAGCTACCACCATAATACTGGGGAAATACTGGGGAAAAGAAGGAAGCCTGGGGCCCAGACTAAAGAGCCCTTCCTCCATCTTTAGTACAGCCTGTTAGTGCCGAGGCTTGTCAGATCCGTGAGAAGAACTGAGGCGGGAAACCAAAGATGAAGCCTGGGCCACCTCCCCAGATCAGACTGGTTTTCCTGTCCAGGGTCCAGCTTCCTCTTTTGTCTTCATTTTGTATAGGGGGGGAGGGCATTTCTCCAGGAGCCAGAGGCGAGGACCTTCTCAGCTGGGGCAGGGCCAGGGTGGCTGGCTGTTCAATAATGTCAGTGCTAAATCATGAACATCCCCGAATGAGCTAGCCATGAGGGCCCGGGAACTTAGAGGCTAAAAGGGCTTCGACACAGGTCACCTGACCCCTCTGACCCATTTCTTGAAAGGATAAAGCAATGGTAGGGTGATCCTGAAGGAAGTCAGAGAGAGATGGTGGACCCTCGTCAGACTGGAGTAAGTTCTCTCCTTTGTGGAAGCTTCTCTCAGCCTAACCCTAGTCAATTTAGTTTTTCTTGTCTCCATTTCAGCATTAAGGAGTTGCATATCAATACCTCCAAAGGGCAGAGTGTACAATGATAGCTGCCTCTACCTCCCTGAAAAGATTCCTCTTAGCAGTGCCCCCCAGCCCCCACTCTGGGCCCAGGTGTCTCACCAGTGTTGCCCTGGCAGGCCTGAGTAGCCCCTGAGTGTCCAGCGACAGAACTGTAGCCCTTTCTCCAAATCACAAGGATTGTTAGGGGCTGAGAGAAAAGGGGATGGAGTGTGTTGGGGATTTTGCTGGGGGCAGCAAGATAGGAGAGTACCCTGTTCTCTGCTCCGGCTCTGCCCCACTGATGGAAAGTAGATGCTAGAGTTTCCTCCCTGCTGTTATTTTCCCTTGTGGAAACCCCCTCAGGCCTCAGGCTTTTGCTGGCGGGACTGGGCAGCCCAGGGTTTCTCTGTGGGTATTTTCAGGTGGGGGAGGTGGGATTGAGAGGATGGCACTTTTGTGCTGCCTCGTGTGAAATGAGCAAAGGAAGTGCCACTTCACAGGCCTTTCATGGGGCCCAGAGCCTGCGGAGCTGCTGCTAGGCTAGGAGCTGCTGCTAGGCTAGGCTTGAGGAGGAAGCTAGAGGGCTCAGCCTTCCTCTGTGCTGCTGGCCTGGTGGGGGAGGGGACAGCCTTCTGGGCTCCCCCAGCAAAGCTGGCCTGGCCCAGGGGTTCACTGTTCTGAAGGAAGGGAGGAAACTGGGACTCCAAAAGGGTCCCAGCCCCCCACAGCCCCTTCCCAGCCACAACTGTCTTGTTTCCTCCTTCTCACCAGGTGGCATCAGCTCTCTCCTCTTATACTACCTGCTACAGTGCAGGAGCCTCTGCAGGGGCTGCAGGATGGAGAATGGCAAGAGGTTGCGAGTACTCCAGCATGGGGTTTTTTAAGCTGGGAACTAGACTTTCCTGGGTTCTTCCCTGCTGATGGGGAGAAGGGGAAGAAAGAGAGACTCAGCCCTTGGCCTACTCCCAGCCCCACACTGACCTCATGTCTCCCCCAGCTTCCTCCTCCCAGCCCAGCTGCAACCAGCTGCAGCCCCTTTAAGCCTCTTCATATCACCACCTCTCCTCTATCAAAATGAACAAAATCGTGGAGCTTCTGAAGCCTTTCCAGCAGTGCCCCTGCCCTTGCCTTGTCTTTGACCAAGGGTCTTCAGATAGTCCCAAATCCTTAGCCGCCCAGGACCACTTTTCCTACCCATCTTATCACCTCTGAGCTAGTTCAGCCTGCCTTGCCCCTCATCCTTTCAGTGACAGAAAAGACAGTAGAGCTTGTGTGTTCATTACCCTCACTTTGTGCTCCTCAGGGCAAGGAGAAATTGGTTACCTTTGTCTTGTGTCTTCTGAATTTAGAGGATCTTACTTCTTCCTAGCATCAAAGTCTGGATTGGCTCTATGTGTGTGTGTGTATGTGTGTGTGTGTGTGAGAGAGAGAGAGAGAGAGACAGAGAGGCTGCAGCATTTACTCGGCCCTTTGCTGGGCTTCTGGAAATAAATAGGACAGGGGGTTGCTGAGAGGTCCTGGAGAAGCTGGGGGACAGGACTGATCTTAGGAGATGAGCAGCATTCCAGGAAGACCAAGAACAACCCCTCGTGCAAAAACGTGCAGGACAGAACAGAGCTCATTCAGTTATTTGCTGATAGCACTGTGAGTGGTGCTCAGCCTAGGGAGACAGGACTTTGTGCTCAAGGCCCTCCCAGTCTAAGGACAAGAGATAAGATTCAGATCAGTCACCAAGCAAGACATGCTTAGGAGACAGAGACCAGACTTTGGATAGCTTAAGTCCTTTGCGACTGTAGTGATTCAGTAGTGACTTTCCTGGAGGAGGTGGTGACAGTGCTTGGCTATACGAGCAGCTCTGCTTGGTAAGTTCTGGGAGAGGGAATACGGAGGCTTCTTTGTAGAGTAGGGTGGTGTGACCAGAGCTACAGGTTGGAATGCCCAGAGTTGAGTTCAGGGAGGACTGCAGACAAGAAACCCCACATTCAGGAGGGAAATTAGAAGGCTGTAGTACGTTTCTATCACCCCTACATTCACAAGCAGTTTGAGTCCATTCCTCCCCTCCCCCACGCCCAGTTAGGACACTTCCCCTGCTCTAACGGCTACAGAGATCTGGCAATCAGGCAGTCATCGCCTGCTTCCTTCCCCTCCCCCCTTTTAGGCTGTCCTGGGCCACACCCCAAGGCGAGGCCCCACTGTGTGCTTGCTAGGCTTTATGGACC